TCCAGCTGAATGCAGCACTTGGGATGGCTGGCAGCCTCTGACCTTGGGTCTACCTCGGTCCTCGAGCCCATTGAGTTGTTGGCACAACTTGGAGCAGGTTGAGGCTGCTCTAATCTTTTATTGCTGGGTGCCATGCTCCATGGGGTGTATGACAGAAATACTCTTTTTCCCAGTGAGGTCTTGGCACACGTTATCTACAGTTGGGATCTTCTCAGCCAAACAAAGAAACAAAGCCAAGTCTCATCACTGCGCAGTCCTTCTCTGCCCACTTAAAGGTCCTTCATGACTCTTGTGTGGGTGGTGTAATCAAAGTGGCTGGTACCGTGGGCCAGCATCTTCGTAAATTACATGGGAACAGGAGACTAAATGAGCTTTATAGAGCAACACCCCCCCTGCCCTCCATCATGTCAGACTGGTTGTGCTTGCAAGAGGAAGGCTGAAGGATTTACAGATGCTGACAGATAAACAGACTCTCTGGGCTTGGGCTGACAGCATTGCATTACGTGAGAGAGTGAGGTCAGAAGCCTGGAGGACCTCAGACAAAAAGTGAAAGTCAAGGAGAGAATAAAAAATTAAACAATGCAAAAGGAAAAAATAAATTATTTTTTAAACTAGTTGATGTATGCAAATCATGGGTTTACAAAATTACATGTTCACTTCTAGAAGCCCATTTGCTTAACTCCTCCATGTATATTGTTTCCTGCAGATTTCCCCAGGAAAGGGAAAAGATAATTCTGAAGGATTAGCCACAGTGCCAGGTCCCCTGTGCTTTTCCAGAGCACCATTCAAAGGGGTGGACATTGGTCTGATCTTGTATGTCCATGGTGCTCCTTGCAGCACAGCTTGCTCAGCTCCCCTGTGGTGGCAGGAGCTTTGCCATCCCTCTCAATGACTACTGATTTGGTCAGCACAAGTTGCACATTGCACAACCAGGAGCACGTCACTTTGCCGTGGATAGATGAGCAGTTCTGTGGGGAGGTGTTGCAGTGTCCTTGGAAATGAAGCGCCCACAGTGTTGAGCTAGGGGTGAAAATCCCCACATCCTATTTCAGGTCTTCTGAACCAGCCAGGACTTATTCATTGGGTTTTGCACGCTGTCTATTTTAGGTGATGAGATCAGGTACTTTTTTGGGTTCAAGTGGCCCATCTATACATCCTGTTGAAT